ATTTGAAGGAATATCTAACAATTCTAAATTTAATATAAAGGCAGGAATTTCTAGATTCGATTTGGGCAATTTCTTTAATCAACTGCATAGCGATAGTCTTGATAATAATGTATTGCTTTCTGATGATGAATTTGATATATGCAGAGAACTTGTTATAGTTTTAAAGCCTTTTGATGAATTAAGTGAAATATTAAAGACTTCAAAATATCCAGCGTCGAGTGTCATAGTACCAGCAATTAAAACCCTTAAACAACATCTTAAAAATTATCAACCTAAAAATGAAGTAATTCAACATGTAAAAGATGCTATACTGAATAATCTTAAAAAAAGCTGGGATGTACCTGAAACTCTTGGACTCTATGGTTCTTTTTTTGAACCTTATTTTAAAAAATTGCTCTATATTAACAGTGTAAATACAAATATATTATTAATTGGATTTCATAATGATGAAATAATGATTTCTTTTATATAGGAATTGCAATATCAGATTATAAATAATCTTCGGGAGCAATATTCGAAGCTTGCAGAACCAGAAACTTTCAACTCTATAATAATAAGTCAAGATTCAAAAATGGAATCATTTTTCCAACCATTTGTTCAAGAAAATGAGCCAAATGAAATTGATAGGTATCTTGCATTATAGCAATTACCAATGTCTGAAGAATATAATCCTTTGAAATGGTGGAATGAGAATAAACTTGAATTTCCAACTATGGCAAAACTTGCAAGAAAATACTTAGCAATTCTAGCATCCTGTATTCCTAATAGAGAACTATTTCTAGATGAAAAAATATATGATTTGGATCTAGATGATGTTAATTATTTTGTATTTTTGAAACATAATTTATTAGAATTCAATTAAAAATATTTATATTTATTAACATTACATTGCTATTTAATAAATACATGAAATTTGCATTACAAAGCATTAGTATTTTTACATTATTTTTTTTTGTCCAAGAGAAATACTTAATATTTGCCAAGAAAATGAAATTCTATACACTAATGCTAAAAATTTTAAATAATTAACAAAAAAAAAAAAAAAAAAAACAGATTTACTAAATTGGCCAATCATATTGAGTCTATAATTTTAAAATAAAATAAAAAACTAACAGTATTCAGATTTTGACAATACTATATACTAGGGTTCTGCAAGTGCCTGGCACGGTACTTCATGATATAGTTTAAAGGTGTGAACTATAAACCATTAGTTATAATAAATAAAATGTAATTTATTTTAAAACTATAGTTAACTACAGTTTTAGAGTAAAGTTAATTGTAAATTATCGTTCAACATCTCTAATATAGTTTTTGAGCATAAAAATTTTAGTATGTATTGTACAGAACGTAGCACATCACCAACAGTAACTATTAAAACATAATGCTTGGTATGGGAACTCTGTTTGTGTCTGGTACCCATACCCTACACTTTTCAAAGGTAGTGAGGTTAAAATACACTGCTTATTACTATATTTAATTATAAAATAGGCTTCATAATATATTATTTGAATTATTGTCTGAGTAAATCGGATTTTTTTCGTTGGCGTTTGTCATTTGAGCTTAGCTACTAAGATGATAGAATATTTTTTAAGTAAAAATGAATTGGCTGATATAATTCAATCTGCCATTTAAATTCGTATTATTCAAAAAATTATTTAAATAAAATAGCAAGAAAGCATCTAAAATTAATTATAGATTTTGATAATTTCACTCCAATTGAAGAAACAAATATCCTAACTAATATTAAAAAAAATAGAAATGGAACTACTGTTTTTATTTCAAGCGGCTATTCATCAATTTTAATTCCTAATAATGCCAAATTTGATTCACGTAATATGATAAAGAAATTGCCCAAATCGAATCTAGAAATTCCTGCCTTTATATTAAATTTAGAATTGTTAGATATTCCTTCAAAT